TTTCCAATTCATGGAGATCTTCCTGTCTCAGCCTCCCAAGCGCCAGGATTATAGGTGTGTGCTGTAATTTGTAAATCTGTGAGAGCAGGAAGAAGCATTTGAAGTTGGATTCAGTGGCATGTGTCTGTTGTCCCACCTACTTGGGAAGCTGAAGCAAGAAGAACATTTGAGTCCAGCAGTTTAAGGACAGCTTGGGCAACATAGCAAGATTCCATTCCAAAAGAAAGCAATTGAGGGCTGGGTGTGTTGGCACACATCTGTAATCTCAGCATTCTAGAAGCTGAGACAGGAGGATCACTGAGTTCAAGGTCAGCCTAGGTTACATAGTTTTAGGTAGGCTTGAACTTCATAGTGAGATGCTGTCTCAGAAAAACCAAGGGGGAAGAAAACAAGCCAAAAGCAAAAAACAAGAAAGTCTTCCTTATTCTGATACAGGTAAACTACAACAAACAGCAAAATATATAAGAAAAAGCATTTTCTGTTAGACAGGAACAATATAATGTTGCCTGTTGCCCGATTTTCTTATTTATTTTTGGCTTGTTTTGTTTTTGGAGACAGTGTCTCACTACGTAATTCAGGCTGACCTTGAACTCACTATGTAGCCCAGGCTGGCCCTGACCTTGCAGCAATCCTTCTATGGTGTGTGCCACCGTGCCTGGCTCCTTAATGTGATAGTCTGAGCCAGTGAAAGCAAGATATAAGAAATACAGAAGAATTGGAAGGAAGAAATAAAGCCACCACAATTCATAGATTAAATGAGTACTCATATATAAGATTCCAAAGAATCTAGATTAGAATCAATAGAGAATTTAGAAGCTGGGGATATAGCTCAGTTGTAGAATACTACCTAAGTATGCATGAGGCTTTAGGTTCAATCCCCAGCACCAAACATACACAAACATGTGTACATGTGTATACCCACACACAGTAAGGCTCTGGGTTACAAAACCAACATAGAAAGACTCAAAGCTGTTCACCCTATGATTCCACTACAACCTATTATGATCTTAGGTAAACCAGCAACAAAAAACAACTAAAAAAAGATAACAGCAAAAAAGATATAAAGTGAGAAAACTGGGCTAGGTGTAGTGGTGTACACCTGTAATCCCAGCATTTGGGAGGCTCATGCAGGAGGATCGTTATGAGTTCAAGGCCAGCCTGGGTTCTACAGTGAGTTCAAGGCCAGCTGAACCACAGAGCAAGACCCTGTCTCAAAAACAAAAATGGAGAAAACTGTAACAGTGTATTGAAAGATGTTTTAAAATTACATAGATATTATGCTCATAGATTGGAAAACCCAGGCCTGAATTCTTTAATTTTTGAGACAGAGTCTCATTATATAGTATAGGCTGACCCTGAACTCACTATATAGCCCAGGGCTGGCTTCAAACTTACTAATCCTCCTGCCTCAGCCTCTTGCATGTTGGGACTACAGGCATGCTCTGTTATTTTTATTGCAATCCTGTGCTAGTCCCAAATAAATATCACAATAACTTACATGAATCCTAGGAACATATAAACAAACAAAAAAAAGCAAGCCCCAGGAGACTATGTATGGTATGATTCTATTTAGATTAAGTTCAAAAATGAGACATTGTTTAGGGATGTAGTCATATGTGGTAAAACTCTAAAGCAAGTTCTTGAGGATTAGGTGCCGGGCAGCCTGCCTGGCCATGGTCAACAGGGTGTGGAGAAAGGGCGCATGAAGGACATGAATGAATGGAAACCTGGACGACAAGAGGTCTCGTGATAGCAGAATTCACAAGTGGGGGAAGGAAAAATGTCCTGGGGCTGGAAGCAATTCAAGGTGAAGGAAATACTATTGTTCTCACCCATAAGTAGTCCAATGGGTGAAAATAAGAAGCCCTATACTACCTTCCAGACCTAGACCACCCTGTAAATGCTACCACACTTATACCACAACCTCAGGCAATCTTTGGGCTTCTAGAGGACTCTGGATTTGAAGATCAGTCAAGACAAGGCATGCTGAGGAACTCAAAATAAATACTTTCAGGAGTAGGAAGAGGTAAGTTTCAAACTCAGCACAGTTTCAACTGGAGGCAGATTTATCAAAATACTAACACTGAACTTCAGGACCCTTTACCTGCCCAAGCCCCTTTTCACAGTTTGAAAAAGCTCACACTATTTTGCATTATTTTCTTTAAAGAAAGCCCCTAAATGGTACAAACTTCAAGTTGCACAAAACTTACATAAGCCCCTGGTCTAAACCCTTAAAATGCTGGTCACAGTGGAGCATGTATGTAATCCCAGCACTTGGGATACTGAGGCAGGAGGATCGTTTTAAGTTTGAGGCCAGCCCGGGCTCCATAGTGGGTTTAAGGCCAGGCTGAACTACGTATTGAAACCCTGTCTCAAAATTTAAAAAAAAAATTTAAACTCTTAAGTTGTAAAATGCTTAATGTACAGCTCGGGGAGATTTCTGGTTATAGTCTCTGCTTCTACTCAATTTTCCTGTTTCAGAAAATTAGATTTCCCTTAGGAACTAAGAAAGTTTGAAATCTAAACTCTTGAAAGAATGTGACTAATAAAGTCCCAGAAATCCACGGCTGTGCTACTTATTCTTTTTCTTCTTCTTCTTCTTTATTCTTAGAGAGACTTGGGATACAGTGACCCCTTTTTAAAAAATTAATATAATGACTCTTGCAGGGTTAACTAAATATAATGCAAGTTTAGTTTTCTAATAAGGCCCTTTGCTAAGAAGGTGCAAACTAATTTTGGCAAGTATCCTTGCTAAATATTTTATCTGGCTCAAGGATGACAGCATAGAAGCACCTCTTGTGTTGTGACTACAACTTGCTTTCAAAACACTATGCAATTCTGCTCCAAGGCCAGTAGCACTGTCACACACTGGATGACTTCCACAAATGTTCCTAACCCCGGGTCTTCTGCATCAAGATCTGGAAAAGCAGAAATGAACAGCCCGTTGTGGTACAGGAATCATAATGGAACTATTATCACCCCAGCATTTTGTAGACTAAAAACCAGAACTCCTTGTGCTTTGTTGTCTATGTGAATGGAGGAGCGAGGAGCTGGACAGTAAATATGAGAACAGGGAGAGGAATTTGCCACCAGATAGAATATTTTCAATAAGAAGAATAAATCATCCAGAAAGATTTACTTAGCAGAGGTTGAGGAATTTGTGGAGTAAGTCAGAACTCTTCCTTCACTAAAAAAGGCTATATCCAACAGGGAAAGAATAGGACTTACAGGAAAATGCTGTTTAGGGCCGGGGAGATAGCTCAGTGGTGCAGTGCTTGCCTAGCATGCATGAAGCCCTAGGTTCAACAGCAACACACACACAGGTAATGTGAGGAAGCAAAAGGAACATGAAATGAATTTCCATGAAACCCATGTAAGATGAACAAAGTTCCTGAAGAATTTTCTATCAGCAGAAACACTGCCTGCTTAGACTAAAAGGGATAGAGCATGTACAAAATCAAAGAACGCTGATCATCTCCCAAAATTCTACTAGCAAGAAGCAGGCTCATAAAACTGCTCAGCTACAAACAAGGTGCTACTTTTCACTGAGGAAGGAAGGATGACTGAGGTGTGGCCATAAGCCCACAGGGCAGAGCTCAGATTCCAGAGTGAAACCAAGAACTCAAGAGTTTTGGTGAAACCAAGAGCCAAGGTGGCAGAACTGAGAGCCACGGAAATTTATTCCCAGGCCTTGACTCCTAATCAAGGAACTACTGTTTTGGAAAAGGAAGGTGATTCAGAAGGCCGAACCAGAGTCCAAAAGGCAAAACCAAGAGCTCAGGGGTTAGAACCAGGAACCCAGAGGGCAGAGCCGTGACCCACAGGAAATAATTCCCAGGCTTTGATCCTAATCAGGTACCTGGAATTGGCCCAGCTGGATTTTTTTTTAAACTTCATTATTTTTTCTAATTTAATTTTTATTAATACATGTTTGTAATACATAATAAATACATTAATTGTGGGGAATTGGTACATATGCATGGTGGATCTTGATCCTTTTTACTTCCTCACCCTCTGCTCTTTCCGACCATCAGCTAGATTTCACAGCTGCCTTACGCTGTTGACTCTCTTCACCTATTTTCTCCCCTTTCTGAACCTGAAATCTGTAACTGTTACCCTACGCCAGTCCCACCTTGTTCAGGAGAGCTGAGGGCAGGCAATTTGTCTTTCTAGTTTCAAAGGTCCAAAGATAAGGAAAAGATTTGTGTTTAAGAGCTGTCCCTGGTAAGATTAGACTGCTGAGCCTTGTGTATATGGGGTTTAGATAACCTCAATGATGAAATTTGGGATATCTGAGCCCATCAGATTTAGGATTTTGAACTGTTGTTATATTTGTGAGACCTTCTGGACTGTATTTTGCATAAGAAAGAGGTGTGAATCATGGGGCCAGGGGGCAGACTGTATGAGAGCAGTATCAAACAAGGCTGCTGAAATGGAGAGGGTCCCAGGGCAAGGAACTCTGGGAGGAGGTCCCGAGGACAGAACAGTGGGATCTGGTGCACCAACAACCTGATGAGCTGGGGAGCAGATTCTTCCCCAGAATCTCCAGACAAGATCTGAGCCTGGCTGCTCCTTGACTTTGACCTCATGAGACCTGGACCCAACTGAGCCTCTTAGGAATTCAACTCACACAAATATGAGATAATAAGTAGGTATTTTTTTAAGCTATTAAAATAGGAACAATTTGTTATACAGCAGTAGAAAATTTTTTTTTTGGTCTACAGATTCTATTCCAGAAATGCTGCTCTAGCCCATTCTGAGAGTCAGACAGAAACAAGAGGACAGGTGTGATTCTGGGACCAGCCCTTGTGCTTGTGAGACCTGCACAAGTTTCCTCATCTAAAAAGTAGGTGGATCAAAGGTAAACAGCTGTTAAGAAAATGTTTCTAAACCAACAAATCTTTTAATAGCAGATGTATTATTAATCACAACACCCGTATTAGTATCTATAAATGAGGTACCCAGACACAGCCATGAACAGAAAAGTTCTATCTGTTTACCTTCCTCAGGCCAGGGCTGCAGATTGCTGGGATAAAGATATGCTCCTTCTCCTCCTGCTAGGAAAGTGCCCAGGAAACACTCATCCCCCTTAAGAACAACAACAAAGCAAAAAGCAAGTGATTTATAGCATAAATACTCAGAGTTGAAAATCTTGTCCAGTTTTGTCTGTCTAAAAAGCTGAGTCTGCCAGGCATGCTGGGCCATGCCTGTAATCCCATCACCCTTGGAGCTGAGGCAGGAGGATCACAGCAAGTTCAAGCCCAGCTTGGGCAATTCAGTGACTCAGTGAGTCCTTGCCTCAAAAACAAAAACCCAAAAAACAAAAACAAAAACAAAAACAAAAAGCAAAAAACAAAGGGGCCAGGGATGTAGCTCAGAGGCATAGCGCCTGCCTGGCAAGCTGAGTTCCATTCCCAGTAATTGCTTCCCGCTCCCTTCCCACCAAAAAAGGAGGGGAAAAGAGGTTACCTAGTTCCTTTTGGTGTTTTCTTTAAAAGCCTCCAAGAGTTTTTGTCTTTTTTTTTGAGACAGGGTCTTGCTATGCAGTTCAGGCTGGGCTTTGATTCACTTTGTAGCCCCGGCTAGCCTCAAACTTGCAGCAATCCTCCTGCCTCAGCCTCCCGAGTGCTGGGATTACAGGCATGTGCCACCACACCTGGCAAGAAGTTTTTTTCATCTGTTGGTTTTGTTTTGTTTTTTGAGACAGGATCTCGCTTGCAATATAGTTCAGGCTGGCCTTAAAATCACTGGGATTATAGCATGCACCAAACACTATTAAAAGTACTATTAAAAGCAGATCCCAGATTGGCCTAGTCATGTCAAGCTGAGGCTTTAAGAGTTTAGGACAAAACTGGGCACAGTGGTGCATACCTGTAAACTTACTGGTATATACTTGTTTGTTTGGTTTTGTTTCATGAGGTAAGATCTCACTGTTTAGTTTAGGCTGGTCCTGAACTCACTATATAGCCCAGGCTGGCCTCAAACTCACAGTGATCCTCTGGCCTCAGCCTCCCGAGTGCTGGGATTGCAGTACGCACCACTATGCCCAGCTTTGCCCTAAACTCTTGATGTCTCAGCTTGACATGACTAGACCAATCTGGGATCTGCTTTTAATAGTACTCGGAGCTGGGTGTGGCTTGCTGCTGTAATCCCAGCACCTGGGAGGCTAAGCAGAGAATCACTGTGAGTTCTAGGCCAGCATGAGCTACATAGTGAGTTCAAGGCCAGCCTGAACTACATTGCAAAACCCTGTCTCAAGAAACAAACAAAAGAAAAACTTCTTGGACATTTTGAAAAACACCAAAAGGAGCTAGCCATGGTGGCACACATTTTATAACAGCACTCTGGGAGGCTGAGGCAGGAGGATCACAAGTTCCAGCCCAGCCTGGGCAAATTAGTGAGACTATCTCAAAAAATAAGAAAAGGGCTAGGGGTATACCTCAGCTTTGGGTTGAGTCCCAGTTGCACAAAAATAAACATAGATAGATAGATACCAAAACACCAAAAAGTTTGAATGGCAGGAAGTATCCCTCTAATTTTGTCCCTCATAAATGGTTATTCCAAAGGTCTTCAGGAAAGGGAAAGAATGCAAATAGAAGGAATTGAAAACAAAGAAATACAGATTGCTTAGATTAATAGTAAGATGAAATCTCTTAAAATATGTTTATGAATTGTTTATATTTGATTCTGACATGATATTAACATCGAGAATAAGAAGGCCACTTACCCTCACTGCTTGCTGGGTTTTTTCAGACAACTTTACTTCATTATCTTCTACCTGTGTCCAACAAAATGCAGACGTTCACTTCACACTTTGAGGCTGTGTTCAAACACTTTTAGGAGACTGAGCAGCCCCCGACCTGCCCAGTGCACTTAGGCCCCACTCAAGCCCTGCCAAACTGGCAGAGGCAGCTGCTGGTCACAGGCTCAGAGCCTAGGCCACAGCGGGTTCTCTTGCTGGACCTATGATCCTGCCAATGAGCTTACAGCAGGTGGACAGGATGTGGTAATACACATCGCTCCAGAGAAAAAGTTATTTTTCAGGATGAAGGAATGAAAATATTAAAATATCTTTCAAGCAGGGTGTGGTGGCTCACGCCCGTAATCCCAGCCCTCAGGAGGCTGAGGCAGGAGGATAGCTGTGAGTTCGAGGCCAGCCTCCACTACAAAGTGAGTTCAAGGCAAGCCTGAAGTGCATAGTGAAACTTTGTCTCAAAAAGACAAAAACCAAACCAAAACAACAAAACAAAAAACAAAACCTTTCAGGTAGGCATGGTGGGGCATGCCTGTAATCATAGGCTGAGGCAAGAGGGTTGCTGTGAGTTCATGGCCAACGTGAATTACAGAGAGAGACCCTGTCTCTCTGGGTTATTACATGGACCCAACACCTCCTGATTCTTTTTACTTCCCCTTCTCCCTTCCCATTATCAACTTCTAAGCTTCAGTCTCCTCATCTGTACTAGGAGGGTGTTAATTTCTTAACTGCACAATTTAATAGGGACTCAGGTAATTTAGGTCTTTTCTTTTGAAACATTTCTAAGTCTGTGAGAGTTAGAGAAACAAGATTCATTCATCTGAAGAGAAAGGGCCAAGATAAAGCTTCCATTCCTGGACAACAGCTAGCTTAGGATCTGTATCCCCCCAGGAACCCAGTGAAGAGGGTCTTCCTCAAGTGTCCCCCCATGTTCTCCCAGTTTGAGTCCCCTTTCACCTGTAAGTGATACTGACCAGCCAGGAGCAGAATCTGGGTACCGCGGCTGTCAGGACTATGCAGCTGGTCTCTGTGGTAACAGTGCCATCTGCAGGAAGACCGCAGACATGCTAGTCAGTTATTCCTGACCACCTCGGCCTATCTCGAAGGGCGCCACTAAGACTGAAATCCCCTCCATTCCCCTTCTCAGGAGCAAGGACTCTTATTAGTATAATGAGTCTGATGCACTGATAAATGAGAACCTACTCATCTCAGGGCAGAGACTAATGAGTGGATGGAGAAATACTTCCTTTTGTGATTAACTTGATTATTTTTCAGAACAAATGGAAACAGTTAAATGAAGACTACTATGAATTAGTTTTTTATCTTTACTTTTATTAATTTTTATCAAAGTAGTACAGGTACTATATACAGTATACATATACACATACTAAAACCAAAGACTATTATCAGGATCATCTTACCAGCACTGAATACTGTCATTCTGTAACTGTTTTTTTTTT